ATTCTCAAATGTTTCATGGAAATAAACCTTAGCACTGCTTAGTGCAATGAGAAGGAAAAGAGTAAACATGTTTTATGTTTTTATTTCTTGTAGTTCTTTTTATTGTTTCGCCACGTAACAATTGTGTGGCACCTTTTGAGCATATTTCTTATTTCTACTTTATTTCTTTACTTATTTTATTGTTGACTTTGGTCTCAAGACATATACCGTCAATTGGTCATTCTTTAGATAATTACTCATTGTTATAGAATAACGATATTGTCATAAATTTTATTAGGAGAAAAAAGTGATAAAAGATAAGTTCTGACTATTTCAAAATTCAAAAAATATCAAATTTTTTAGTCCTTTTTTATTTCTTTTGATTTATTATTTAACTTTGAATGTTTTAAAATGTTATATATATCATATTAATATCGTGACAAAATAAAAATATTTTTTAAATTGTTTATTCTTTTAATATTGAAACTAAATGAAATTTCATTGTTTTTCATTTCTTTTAAAATTACTTGAAATTAATTCATTTATTCTCAATAAAAAAAAATAACAAAATAAATTCTTTTGTTAAATAACACAATTTCATATAATTTTACTTAATATTCCATCTAGTTTATTAATACGTATATGTTTGACTTTATTAATTAGAGAAAGAAGAAATAGTGTGTTTTGATAGCTACTTTATTATTTTCATAACAAATTTGTCTTGAAAGAAATAAAAATCAATATCCATAAATTTGTTTAAACTCTCTATATAAAATTTCTCACTTTCATATAACAACTCTTATTCGATAATTCAATAATTATTTGTTTTTATACTTTTTAATGTATTATGAAACTATTTCAAACTAACATAAACACTTTTATTGAAAAACAATAAAATAACATGCATCATTCATTACATTAGCATAATATTTTAATAATTTATTTAATTATATCTAATGAAACGAGCAAAGAAGTTTAATGAAAGAAGTAAGTAATGTCTTAGTTTTTATTTAATTAAAAAAAAAAACAATTTTAAAAAAGAAAAACTCAATGAATAATAAAATAAAAGAAATAAATTTGAAGTAATAATAATTCATTCAAATAATTAAAATATGAAAATAAGAAGTTCTAAATTATCTTTGTAATTATAAGAGAGATTTGAAATCTTCTAAAATGATGTAATTCATTGTTTATATAACAATTTATAAAAAAAAACTTTTGGTATTTAATTATTTTAAAAAAGGTATTGATTTTAAATTTATTTCAATGTTTTGTTATTTGTTTTATTTCTGGTACTTTTCTCTTTCTTTACTTCTCATTAGTATCTTTTTTAGTATATTCAATGCTTTTAAATATACATCTTTTTCATTTTAATTAGTTTTAACAAATATAAACATTCTACAAATTGTTTCAAAACCAATTGTTGATTAGTTTTGTGTAATTTTCATTCTATGTCAAATGTTTTTATATTAAAAAAAATATAAAAATAATGAGATTAGATTTTAGTCAAATCATTTGTCTTTTCAAGATATTATAAGATTAGAAGTAATCAAGATTATCAATGGAGGTTGTAAGAATGAAGTGATTATGATATTTTAGAGATTTGATAACTTTTATAAAAACAAATTGAATCAGTTTATAAGTAATTTTTGCATAAGAAAGAAAGTCATTATTAATAAAAATTATTTGAAAATAATATTTTAATAATTAGGTTTAAATAAAGAGTTATTTTGCTATATATGACTATTTTTTAATAATAGAAAAACTTAAAAAGAATAAAATGTCTAATTTAAGAGGAACAACTACATTTGAGTCAGTAGTAAAAGAACGCCAAGACCAACTATCAGACTTAAGGTCAAAGAAAAGAGAAGGGATGCTTTCTGTTAGAAGATGTGTTGATACTGATAAAGTGACATTATTACCACCAATTAAGGAGATTGAAACAGTTTGTGAAATGGCAAAACAAGGAGATTTAATGAGTATTCGTATATTAACCAGCTATCTTAATGGAGATCAAACAACTAATAGATTAATAGTTCAACATGAAGTGTGTAAATCATTATTTCAACTAATACCACAATTAGATGATGGAGTTGTTCAAGAAATTATTAAGTTATTAGTATCATTTACATCAGAGAAAAACAGCGAAGTATATTCACAAAATTTAATTACATCAGGGTTCTTAGATGTATTAGATAATTTATTTCAAAGAGGTCATGAAGTTAAGAGAACAACATTGTGGTTAATAGCGAATATTTGTGTTGATGGAGAAAGAATAATAAATTTATTATTTAATTATGGACTAATACCAAAAGTTCAAATAATATTAGAAGAAGAGAGATATTCAATGGAAATTCTTCATGTAGTATCATGGATGTATTGTAATATTTGTAGAATGAGACTAGTTCTTGACCCACATAATATGAAAGCAATATTTGATTTTATTTATCAAACAACAGTAGGAGAATATAAAGTTAGGTTAGATGATTCTGTTATGTCAGACGTCTTATGGTCATTATCATTTATAGCAGAATCACGAGCATATGATGGGTTTCTTGAAGATAAAAAATTATTAAAAGGGGCAATGGGTTTTTTATTTTCACAAAGTAAATTAGTTTATTTACCAGCGTTAAGATTCTTTGGAAATCTATCAAGTAAAGACTCTAACTTTTGTCAAACATTAATACAATTAAATTTGTTTGAAGTATTTAAACAATTATTAGATACAAACCATCAAATTGCTATATTTCGTGAAATACTTTGGGCTGTAAGTAATTTTGCAGGAGATGAATTAGTGGATAATGCATCTTATATTGTTAAAAATACTAATTTTATTGGAATTTGTTGTGATGGATTATTAAATAATTCATTTTCTGAAGATATATTAAAAGAAATGAGTTATACTATTGCAAATATTGCTTATTTTAAATCAGATGAACATCTTATATTATTACTTACAAATTATCCAACAGTAGTTGCTGCATTAATTTCTATATTAATTAAATTTCCTAATACAAAACAAGTCGTTAGTATTACATTACGTTCTATTTTAAATTTACTGGAGTTTGGAGTTAAGAAAGGTGTTGACGTTCAAACTGTTTTTGATTCATTAGGACTTGAAAATATATTAAATGAATTGAGTAATAATGCAGATTTAAATACACTTAGTAAAAAACGAATAGAATTATTACTACAAACGTATTATCCAAAAGATGATTTGAATGAAAAAGGATTAACAGAAATTTAAAAATTAAAAAAAACAAAACAAAGTAATAAAAAATAATTGATAATAAATTATAAAGTATCTAAATGTTTTAATTTCTCTGATAAACGAAGACCAAATGATGGAACTTCAGATAATTTATTAGTTACTGTAAATAATGGAACAGTAACTGGTTGAATGTGAGGAGTTTCTAATGAATTTAATTCTATTAAAGTGAGTTCATTTATATTATTTATTTCCGATAATAATTTTCTTTTAATTTCATTTAATTTTTCTTTAATAATTAAACATTCATTTTGAACTTCTTTTGTTAGGAAAGTTTTTTGTTTCATTCTATTTATAATTTCATTAATTTGACTAATTAAAGCACCAACAATTCCATTTTCACCAATTCCTAATTCAATTGTTTGAATAATTTCTTTAATATATTGTTTACTTAAACTAATAAATAAATCATTTTCATCATTAATTTTAATTATTTGAATATTTGATTGATCTTTAAATGAATTAATTAAAATTTTTATTTGTTGAATTAATAATTGTAATTGATGAATTGTATTTTGTTGAATAACTTCTCTATTTTGTTGTTTTTGAATAATAATTTGATTAATTTCTTTTAGATTAATAATTTGTTGATTTAATATTTCTTTATATTTAATATTTCTTTTATCTTTTTCAATTAAATGTTCATCAATAATTTGATTATCTGAAATGACCCATTCATCTAATGTATTATTAATTTCATTTCCCATATTTTCAATTGATTGAATTAATATTTTTTTATTTTCATTTATTTGCTTTTGAATATTTTCATTTAAACTTTTTATCATTTCTTTTCTTTTTTCATTTCTTTTTACTTCATTTTGTATAATAATTTCTTCAAATTCTTGACTTTCTTTTTTTTTCTTTTTTAATTCTTCTATAACTCCTTTTAAACTTTCATTTACAATTTCCATTTCTTCTTCTTTTTCTTTAATTTCTTTTTGTTCAATGTCTTCAATTGTTTTTAATTTTTCTTGAAATTCTTCATTAATATTTTCTTTTTCTTTAAGTATTTTTATAACATTTTCTTTATTTTCTTTTTCTTGTTTTAATCCTTCTTTACAAAATATTTCCATTCTACCCAATGTATCTTTATAAATCCACTGTTGATTAAACTCTTCAAAATTAATTCCTTCTATAATACTTTTTTTATCACTTTCTTCTATTTTATTTTCAATTACATTCCAACTCATTTGAATTTCTTTTTTTTCTTCTTCTATTTGTTCAGTTATTTTTTTTTCTATTTCATTTTCATTTTCTTGAATTTGTTTAATAATATCATCGTTTTGTTTAATCTTTTCATTATTTCTTTCATAAATATCTTCTAATTTTCGTGATTGTTTTGTTAAAATCTCTATTGACTTCACTACTTTTCCAAGCATAGTTTTTAATTCAATTTCGTTTTGTCTTTTCAAATGAATATAATTCATTGCACTTTTTAATTGGTCTTGTGCTGCACTAACTTCTCCTTTTGCTTGTGCAAATAATGCTTGCATTTCTAAATTTTGTTGATTAACTTTAGCAACTTCCATTTGTAATATTTCAATTTCTTCTTCTGTGAGTGGTTTTTCATTACGTTTTCCTTCAGTAATAAGTTTTTTTAAGTTAATAATTTTATCTAATTTTTTTTGAAGAAAAATATCTTTTCTAACACTTGCATTTTGTTTTGGTGTATTTTTTATTGTTTTAACTCTCTTTGCATATTCTAATGTACTTAATGTTTCTTCTAAATCTTCTTGTGCAGGTGATATTGTAGCTACCATTGCAGTAATACTAGCACCTCCTAATGCATCTTGTAAAATACGAGTTAAAGGTGATGATCTAAATGGAATATAACTATCTCCTTTACTTACCCCAATAATAACTCTATTTAATGCTAAAAGACTTTGATTAATTGCCATCCCTTCTAATTGTTTTACTTTATCTCCAATAATTCCTGCTCTTTTACTATTTTCACTTCCTGCAAGATCTACACAATGAATTCTTCCTGGAACAACAAAATCACCTTCAAAATCACTGTCTCTAATAATTTGTACTGTCACTGTAAAAATACAATGTGATCTTGATGAATTAGTATTAATATCTGTTGCTGCTGTTCTTCTTTGTCCTGAAGATTTTGCTAATATTTGATGAACATTTTCTTTTGTTACTGTTAATTCAGTTGCACTTTCTGGTGATGCACCATTTCCTTCTTTTCTTTCTTTAATAGCTAATTCTTTTCTTTCATCACTTAAAAGGTCATATACTTTTTCGTTATATATTTCTACATGAGTCACTCTCATTCTATATCTTAATCCTCTCTTTTCTAATGTCATAAATAATTCATTTATCACTCGTGGAATAACTCCTTCATTTTCTTCTTCTCCTTCCATCGTATATGTCTTTCCAGTCCCTGTTTGTCCATATGCAAAAAATGTACAATTATACCCATCAATAACTTTCCCAATAAACCCCTCTAATGCAGAATCACAAAATTGATTTTGATTAACTTGTGATGAAAAGACTTGATCAAATTCATATTTTTTTCCTGAAACAATTAAATTTTGATTATCCATTTGAATATTAGCAATATGTTCATTTTCTTTTCCAGGACGACAACGGACATAAACTTTAATATTCATTCGTTATATTTTTCTGAGATTTTTTTTTTATTTTTCGGTTTGTAATAATCAAAAAATAGAAGATGTTATATAAAACGAGATAATACAAAAAAAAAATACAAATAAAAAGGTTCAAAAAGTGAATAAAATACAAGATCAAAAGAATGAAAGAATTATTAATGGAAATTTTTAAAGATCAAGAGAACTTAAAAAAACAAAGATGTCAATTACTTCTATTGTCCCCAACTTTGGAACTATTAGAACAGAGCCTGTAGGTACTTTAGGTAAAAAAGATTACCGAATTTATTTTGAACAAGAAGGAAAGAAAATTTCTCCATGGCATAAAATTCCAGCATTTGTAAGTAAAGATGTTGTTAATATGGTTTGTGAAATTCCAAGAGGAACAAACGCTAAAATGGAAATATCAACAACAAATAAATTTAATCCAATCAAACAAGACTTAAACAAAGATGGTTCATTAAGATATATGAAACATGGAAATGTTTTAAATCATTATGGTGCTGTTCCCCAAACTTGGGAAGATTTATTTGAAAGAGACTCTATTGTTGGTATTCCTGGAGATAATGATCCAATTGATATCATTGATATCTCTCAAAAGAAAGTTGCACGTGGTGAAATTGTTCAAATTAAACCAATTTGTGCATTAGCATTATTAGATGGAGGTGAAACTGATTGGAAAGTTATTGGAATTAATGTAAATGATCCTCTTGCTCAAACCATTACATCTGCTAATGATATTGAAAAAACTGTTGATGAAATTAGAGAATGGTACCGCGTCTATAAAGTTGCTGAAGGAAAGAAGTTAAATAAATACGCTTATGGTGGAAAGGCTTTTAACCAAAAATCAACTTTAGATATTATAAATGAGACTCATTTACAATACAGAAAACTTAAAACAACTCAAAAGAAGTTATCAAAATTGGCGTTAGACTAAACTTAAACTCCCTTTTTTTGATTTTTATGTTTTATTTTTATTTTTTTTTATTTTGTGTTTGTTTTTTTTTTTGTTTTTTATTAAATAAACAATTTAACTTAAAAAAAAAAACAAAATGAAAAAATAAAAATAATCGAAAAAAACTAGAATAATAGTAAAGAAACTAAAAATAAAAAAACTAATGAAATTGAATAGTTGAAAAAAAAAGAACTGAAAAGATAAAAAATAAGATCCATGCAAGACATTACATTGGAATCATTTCTTGATAATTTAAGAAGTGAAGATATTGAGATAAGAATGGAAACTTTGACATATTTACCTATCCTATTACCAGAACTTGAAATTCAAACTGTTAAAGAAATTATTGTAAATTTAGTTCATTCGCTATTTGAAGAAGAAGAGTTAGATCTTTTTGCAACTGACCAATTGCCGTTATTTACACAAATATTAGGAAAAGAAGAAATATATAATTTATATCCATTGTTTGACATTTTGCTTGGTGCACCTGAGATTAATATAAGAGAAAAGGCAATGACGTGTTTTGCTGAAATAATAACTATCTATCCCGAAAATGATTATCTCCCATATATTAAAGAATTATGTAAAGTTTCAATCTATGGAAAAATTTCAGCTGCAAAATTAATTTGTTTATTACCAGAAAATGATGGTGTATTTACTGTTATAAGAGAATTATCACAAGAAGCTTTTCCACCTATAAGAAAAGCTGTTGCTTGTGGAATAGAAAAAGTTGAAAATATGCCATCAGATATTATAGACGTTTTATTTAAAGACCCAATTGATTCAGTAAGAATTGGATTTAGTAAATGTCTTCCTTATCTTTGTCGTAAAGAAGAATATATTAATTACTTTAAAGAACTTGCTCGTGATCCATGTTGGCATGTTAGATATGTTTGTGCAGTTAATATTGGTAAATGTTGTGACGCAATTCCTGGAGATGTACTTACCAAAGACGTTCAAGATATTACTTTTGATTTATTAAATGATGAGGATGATCATGTTCGTTCTATGGCAGCAAGTCATATTGCTGACATTACAAAGAAAATTCCACCAGAAACTATTATTAGTGAAATTCTTCCATTGGCAGAGAAATTATCAGTTGATCCAGTTATTGATGTTCGTTCATCACTTGCTGCCTCTATTACACAAATAGCTCCACAAATTGGACGTGCAAATTGTCAAAATTATTTATTTAAAATTATTGAAACTTGTCTTCAAGACAATAGTACTGAAGTACAACTAAAGATAATTACTACATTAGATTATTTAAATCATGTTATGGTATTATCTCAATTATCTCAAAAAGTACTTGCTACTGTAATGAAATTAGTAAATGATTCATCATGGAGATGTAGATTACAAACAATAGAATTAATTCCTGAATTAATTCAACAATTAACCGAATGTCAATTTGAATTAGTACGAGTAAGTGTATCTATACTAACAGATAAAGTTTATGCAATTCGAGTAAAGGCTATTGAAAATATTAAAAAGCTTATTGCATCATGTGGTATTGATTGGGTTAAATCACGTATTCTTCCATCAGTAATTTCTTTAGCTAGTTCTGGATTATATCATCATAGAATTATTTGTATGAATTGTATAACACAAATTATTCCATCTCTTTCTGCTGAAACTATTACTACAATTATTATTCCTATTGTTCTTAAATTACTTACAGACAAAGTTCCTAATGTCCGTTTTAATGCAATTAAAACTTTTATTGTTATTCTTCCATTAGTGTCAGGTAATATTATTCAAACTAGAATTAAACCAGCATTACTTGCAACTAAAAATGATAAAGATGCTGATGTTCTTGGAGAATTAACAAAGGCAATAGAAAGTGTTAATCAGTTTTTATGTTGAATTTACAATAAAATCAAATTTTTTTTATTCTTTTATTTTTCTTTTTTATTTTATTTAATAATCAAATACAAAAAAAAAGAAATATTCAATTTAATAAGTCGTTTATTTTTTCCTTTTTAGATTGAGTAAGTTCATTAATTTTTTCATAATTTACTCCAACATCAAGTTCTGGATGACTTAAATTTTCAAATTTAGCAACTTCATTTACAATGACACTAAAAATAGGTCTTTCTGATGGTTTTTGATTCCAACAAGAAGTTATTAAATGTTTCCATTCTGTTGGCATTGGACCATCTAAAGGAAGTCTTTTACCTTCACAAACAAAGTTTTTAATATCAAATAATGATTTGAATTCTTTATATGGTTCTTCAGCATAAAACAATTCCCATGCAGTTATTGCATAAGCAAATACATCATTTGGACAATCATAAATATCTTGATATGCTTCAGGTGCAACATACATAGGAGTACCAAGCCCTTTATCTTTATTTAAACGTTGAATAAATCTAGAAGTACCAAAATCAGTAATTTTAACACAACAAGCAGAGTCAGCATATAATGAATTAACTAACAAATTATCTGGTTTAAGATCAAGATGAAGAATAGAATTATTATGTAAGAAATTCATTCCTTTAGCAGTATCAAGAAGTATTTTATTTTTTAAGGCAAAAGGTAAAATAATACCTTCTTTATTTCCTTTATGAATATAATTATTTAATGATCCTAACTCAAAGAATACAGTAACCATACATATTTGTGGAATATATGTAACTGATCCAACATAATTTACAACAAATGGATTACGTAATTTACTTAATAAATCACATTCTCTTACTACATCTTGTTTTAATTCTTCCATTTCTTCATTTGAAAGATTTTCCCATTTAAATTGTTTTACTGCAACATAAATTGTTCTATATTTTCCAACATAAACTGTTCCCATTGCACCTTCTCCAATAGGTTCATCCAATAATTGAATTTCATCCATATCAAGATTAATTGAATTAACTGCATCTGTTTCTATAGTAAAAGAACCATGGAATTTATATTTAACAAATTTCATATTTTGATCCATTTCTTTTTTACAAGTTTCATCCCATTCTGCAAATGTTCTGTCTTTTAATAAAGTACTAATATTATTAAGAACATCTCTTTTATTACTAAAATAACAACTTACATGAATTTTTAATCCAAATATCTTTGTAGTACAATGAAGTGTCATAAAACATGTACACACTTTAATAGAATGTGAACGTAATATATGTACTTGTGGCATAAAATGAAATACATATTTAGGATTATTTGGTGTATGAAAGATTAATAACATATATTTTGATGAATTATTTGATACAACAAATCGTTCAAATCTTGTTTCTTCTATTTCTGCAAGATTATCTTCTGTTCCAAAATTTAATTTACTATGATCAATTATTATTCGATATTTATCTTTTGCTGGATGTGGATCAACAAGTGCACTTGTTGATTCAATTACATTTAATGCAGTTGATCTTGTAATATCATAATAATAAATTGGTTGTTGTTGACGATAAATGCTAAGGTCAATATTCTTTGTTCTAATAACAAATGAAGTTAATGTAACAGATAAAATTATAATTGTAATAACTAATAATATTCCTCCAATACAAATAACAATAATTGCCCATGTAGCTAATGTAGCTTTATTTTTACATCCAAGTGATCCATCTGAAACCATATTATTATATGCACATTGACATGTATCAAGACAGTTATATCCTCCATCACATATTTCTCCTTCATCTAATTTTCCATTTCCACACGTTGATAAAATACATCCTAAACTTGGATTCTCTTGATTTCTTGGTTTATACCCTTCAATACAAATACAATTATCTTGACAATTATTTGTACCTTTAATACAGTCTAAACTACTATCACTTTCTACATTATTTAAACAAGTTAATTTAATGCATTGATGATTAATAACTTGATACTCATCATCACATTCACAATCAATTGAACAATGACTTACACCATATTCACACAACAACGAAGGGTCTCCATAAGCTTTATTATATTCTTTAGTTACATTATCGTAACAAATATCCATACATGCTCTTCCATATTTATTTTTTGAACAAATACATCCTCCACTTCTATAACTACATACTCCTGCATTTATATTAGAGTTACAATCTTTAGGACAAACAATAGCAATTTTAAGAAAGTCATCTTCTTCTGGTTCAGTAGTTAAATAAGCAAAATATAATTTTTGATAATTCATTCCTTTATAAATACCATCTGCTGGTTTAGAAGAATTGTATTTAATTAATAAAGATAATCCTTGATTAATTCCTTGATTTTCTAATTTACCTTCTATTGCAGATGTATGTAAAGCAATACATCTTTCTTTAACTTCATTTGTTGTAGGATCTTTAATTAAATCATATTCCTGAACATATCTCATTCCAGTTCTTACAGAACGTACAAGAAGACTTACACCTTCAATTAATTCAGCAGAAAATCTAATTGATTTCATATAATGATTTGGTGCACAAACTGGATATCCATAAAAACCTGTAACCTTCATAGGAACATTTAAATATAAATCTCCATGTGTTTGATTTAACATTTCTACAGCACGAGCATTAAAAGGGATATAAGGTTCAAATAAAGGTTGTTTTAAACTAAATGAAATTCCACCACCATAAGAAGAATTATACTGACGGTCTGAGTGAATAAATAATTTATAATGTTTATTCATTTTACCTATCCAATTACAATTCATTTGACCAGATATTGATTCTCCAGAACTTAAACATTCATTAACAGCTTTAAGAGGATTATTATCATCTAATTCTACTACATTACATTGAAATTTATTTACATTATTCCATTGAATAGTTGCTTGGTATGAATATTCTTTTCCTGTTGTATCTGATGAATTTTGTACAGGTACATCAAAATAAATACCATAAACATATTGAGTACGACTAACAGTTTTTGTAGCACATGGTTGTGGATATAAAAATTGCATTCCACCATTAAAATATGTTACTTTTAATGTATTTAATTTAGCTATATTTTCTAATGAAGTTGGAATAGAATAAGGAGATAATACTGTGACACTATCGTATGCAATACATTTCTCAGATGCATCCATTCCATAAAACATATTTGATTTAGAAATAGCAATATATGGATCAGACTCACGACATGTTTTACAAGTTAAGTCATTATTATCATATGCATCTCCACATTTTAAACATACAGTTTCATTTAAATAATCTACACAACCAGTTCCAATAACATCATATCCAAAACAATTCAAAATATTATAAAATAAAAAAAGAATGGTAATACACTTCATCTCTTCTTTTTTTTTTAATTCAATAATAAGATCATTCTTCTTTTTTTATTTTTTCATTTGTTATTATTTGTTACATCGTTGATTTGAATCATTTGTTAGTTGTTATTTTTTTTTCTTCTAAATATCTTTTTTATTATTTTTTTATTATCAATTTTGACTTTCTCATTTAAGTGTTCTGTGTTTTATCTTATTTTGTCGTTTTTAATTTCTTCGACATTCCAAGTATTTTGTAATTTATGTCGAAAAAATATACTTTTTTAGTTATGAAAAAAATTAAAATAAGTTATTTTTTTTTTTTTATTCATTTTTCTTACTTTATTTTATTTGTTACTATAACAAAAATTCATTCACTTCCTCAAATAAATAATTATAACACCTGTATTTGAAATTATTTTTGTTAAACCTTGTTAGTTACGTATTAATAGTTCAGTTTTTTTATTTATTATTATTTAACTATTTATTCTTTTGATAAATTATTTATTTTGACTTTAATAATAACCATAAATATAGTTTTTTCTTCATTTTTTTTTAGAAAACTAATTAAGAAGTAAGACATTGATTATTGAAAAAGTTTGTTATTTGAAAAATATATTTTTAAACTTTTTTATAATCTCTTAAACTTTGTGTTTGAGTATAATAACTAAATTTTCTTTAGTTTTTGTAAAAAAAATGATTTTCGTTATATATAACAAAATGATTTTATATTACTTAAAAATAAAAAAGAATAGTAAAAAAGAATATTAAAGATATAATAATAAAAAAATAGGTTTTCTAAAAAAAAAAAGAAAAAGGTTTTTGAAGAAAGAACTAAGAAATTGGAGAAGGGGAATGGCTGAGCAAACTGAAAGAGCTTATCAAAAACAAGTATTCCACCATCATTCTAGAAATGAAAAGGGAGAAATTGACTTTGGTAATGTAAAGAGATATCACAAACAAATTGGTATGGGATTTGTTACTCCAGCTGAAGCCATCAAAGGTACTTACATTGATAAGAAATGTCCATTCACATCAGATGTCTCTATTAGAGGAAGAACATTATCTGGAATTGTCAAATCATGCCATATGAAAAGAACTATTATTGTTAGAAGAGATTATTTCCATTATGTTTCAAAGTACCAAAGATATGAAAAGAGACATAAGAATATTGCTGTTCACTGTTCTCCAGCTTTTAGACAATTAAAAGAAGGTGACCATGTTGTTATTGGACAATGCAGACCACTCTCTAAAACTGTTAGATTTAATGTTCTTAAGTTCACATCAAGAGGAACTGGTGATAAGAAACAATTTGCTATCTTCTAAAAGAGAAAAATCTATTTGACTTTATTTCTTTACTTTTTTTACAATTTAAATTTTTTTTTAATACCAATTTAATTAAATTAATGTTCTTCATTTTGTTGTTTTACAAAGGAATAAAACAAACTATTTGTATTGTTTAAAAGATTTTGTGGAGTATCAAACTCTTGAACAATACCATTATCCATAACAATAATTCTATCGTAATCTATAATCGTATAAATTCTATGAGCAATAGTAATAACTGTTTTATCTTTCATAAACGTTCTGATACTTTTTTGGATACATTGATCTGTTTCATAATCAACACCAGAAGTTGCTTCATCAATACATATGATTTTTGAATCTCTAAGACATTCTCGTGCAATACACAGTAATTGCTTGGTACCAGAACTAAGATTCTTTCCATTTTCTTCAACTAAGTCATCAAGACCTTTAAACTCTTTATCAAAACTCATATCTTGTAAGATTTGATAAATATCTTTATCTGACTTTCTTTTAAATGGGTCAATATTTTCTCTAATAGTTCCTTGAAATACTAATGGGTCTTGTGGTATTATTCCTATTTGTTCTCTTAATATATGGTGTGGAATTTGATTTAGTGGTACTTCATCAATCATCACTGTTCCACTAACGTTTGAAACAGTTTTAAACAATACTTGTAAAAGAGATGATTTACCACTTCCAGTTCTTCCACAAACACCAATTTTTTCTCCATGATGAATATTAAATGAAATATCTTTTAAAACATCAGGTAATTCTTTTCTGTATTTCATTGTAATATGTTTAAATTCGATATTTCCAATAGGCCATTTTTTATTAAGAATTAAGTCTTCAACATTAATTTGAGGGGTGTTTAATTCTGTTGATTTATTGTTGGTTATTGGTAATGGATCAAAGTCAATTAAAGAGTCTCTTTGTTGTTGGTCAATGTCTTCTTCAGTTTGTAATTCACAATATTCTAAAACTCGTTCAACAGAGACAAAACTACTTTGTACATCAGAAAATGTTTTTATTAAAAACACTAATGACCGAGTTACATTCATTGCATAGGAGATTGCTAAACCAGCTACTGATGCACCACCAAGTGAAGCTGCAATAACACTCCCAAACATTACAAACGCACCAATACAATCAACACGTAAACATAACCATCTATCAACAAGAGAATTAGAATAAGTAGTTCTTTGATGAATATCAAATAATTCAGATTGTTGGTCAAATAATAATTGATTTAAATTTTGTGCACGAATAGTAAATAAACCAGGAACAATTTCTGATATAATAGATAGTCTTGGTGATTTAGTTGTTGATTGTAGTCTTTGTAAGTTTTGACTTGAGTCAATATAAAATATAATAATAGAAATATAAACATAACTTAAAATAATTAAAAGAGGCATAAAGAGAATTGAAGAAAGTAAGTTTAATAATAATACAAAGATAATAGTGAGGACTTGAAGAATACAAATTGAAAGTACTCTTTTTAATTGAGTATCCATTGTTTCAATGTCTTTAGTAAATCTATTTAAAATTCTTCCTATTGGAGTTGTGTCAAAGAAAATAAAAGGAGAATGAATAACATGATAAAACATTGAATTGTGTAAAGTTGTTGTTGCTTTTGTACCAAGTCGTGTTTCAATAATACTTTTTAATAAAGTAAATATCACTGAAATAAGTTGTAAAATAAAATAATATAATAATGGAATTGGATTATATGTTAACATATAATCAGATAATGTTGATGAACCTTTAACAGCAAATGAAATACATAAATAAATAATAATTGATGGTAAACCACCAACACTTTGAATATATTTTTTAAAAACTGATTCTTTAATTATTCCACTTTCAATAGTTTCTTTTGTCATTAATTCATTTGAAGTTTCATTTAAATGAGAAGGAGATTCTAAAGGATTTAATGTTTTTATTTCTTTTTTAATAGGAATAGGAGATAATGTAGTAGGTGTTTTTGTTAATTCTTTCATATCTTTTAATGTATTCATAAATTCAGTTTGAATAAAATCATCATAATTTCCATTGAAAACAATCTGATGATTTTCTAATACAATAATTTGATCTGCATATGGAAGATATTGTAATTGATGTGTACATAATACTCTTGTTTTTTCTTTTAATTCATTTTGAATTACATCTTTAAAAAGTTTAACTGATACATTTGGATCAACTGCAGATAATACATCATCAATTAAATAAATATCATATAATTTATATATCACTCTAGCTAATGCAATTCTTTGTTTTTGACCACCTGATAATGTAATTCCACGTTCACCAATTTGTGTTTTAATACCATCATGAAAAATTTTAATATCAGGTTCTAATTGACAAAGACTAATTGTTGTATTAAATCGTTCTTCATTATATTCATTTCCCATACAAATATTTCCTTGAACTGTATCATTTCTTAACCATGGAGTTGATGAAATAAATCCAATACTTCCATTTATTCCATTAAATGAATTTTCATTGTGTTTACATTCTCCTAAAATTGCATTAAGTAATGTAGTTTTACCACATCCAACTTGTCCAATAACCATTACTAATTTTCCTTTTTGTATTTCTAAATTAATATCATTTAATATCATTTTGTCTTTATATCCAAAACTTCCTTTTAATTTAATTGAAGTGTTATCTTCTTCTTTTATTCTTTTAATTCCTTCATATTCTTTTTTATTTAAAAATTTTTCAATTCGTTCTATAGCAACTTTAGCTTCAGTTAATCCAAGTACTAATAATGGAAGAAAACTTAAGGGGTGTTGTAACATTTGAAATACTGATAATGTTGTAAATGCTATTGAACTTGATAATTCCATACTTCTTAATGCAACACTAAAAGTAATCATTGAAATAATTGCTGGAAGAAGTCTAGTAATTCCAAACATACATCCATCAACAACTGATAATTTTCTTATTAATTTTTGTTCAATTTCTCTAGAACATTCAACTCGTTGTTGGGCAATATCTACTAATCCTTCTAGTTTAACTCCACGAATATTAGAAAGTAATTCATTTGTTATTTTCCCTCTATTATCACGAAGTTGCATTAATTCAAACCTCATTTTTCTTTGATAACTTGCAATAACTAATGTTATTGGAACACAAATAAAAAGTCCTATAATTCCATATAATGCTGCTGTACCAACAAGGTCATACAACATAAATGAACATATTATTAATGAAACAGGAATATCAATTAGATCAAAAATATGTACCAAAAAACGTACAACTCGATCAATATCAATGTTAAGAATATTCACTATTTTAGAGTTATTTGCATGTTGTACAATAAGCAATTTATTAAATACAATATCAGTTAATTCTTTTTTTATTTGAACGTGAATTAATGAAGATAAATATATATTTCTTTGTCTTACAAATGCAGAAATTAATGGAATAAATAACATACAAAGAGATAACCATAAAATAGATTTATTTTGTTCTAAATTCATAAGAATATGTTTTTGTATTACAGGAAGAATTGTTTCTGTTCCTATCATTATAATGAAATAAGGAACTGTCATTAGTAACCTAGGAAAATAACATACAAATATCGCTTTCATTAATGAACTTTTTTTTAATTGTTTTTCTAAAACAGGTACTTCACGTGGTAATTCAGGAAGGTCAGATGAATTTAATAAACGACTTTGTGCTAATGATAATAATGGAGTTATAAATGAGTATGTCCATTTATTTATTAAATTTAAAGAGTATTTTGGTGTAAGTAAATTTTTGTCAGAAACTCCTTGCTTAGGAGAAAAGAAGAGAATATACAACAATTGAATTGAAGAAAGTAATGCACATAATAGTCTGAGTAAAGAAGGAGAAGTGTGCTGATGAAAGCAACAAATAATACAAAATAATGAAGAAGGGAGATAAAAAATAATGACTTTATCTGATAAATGGTATAATAAAAATAAAGAAAATGAAATAACAACAAGAAACAAGTGATGCGGGTATTGAAGAGACTCAATAATTAATAAAATTATTAAACTAAAAGAAATCAAATTGAACAACGTTTTACTTTTTATTTCTTTCAATGAAGGTGTTTTCCAATAATATAAACATAACAATATGGAAAAAAAACTGAGTAATGGGAATAAAATATAATTTTCAAAACATGGATTAATTTCTTTTGATGTAATAAATCCAAATTCACCAAAACATTGAAAAGAATTTGACATAACTTCTATAAATAATGAGTTATTATTTTTCTTGTTTTTTTTAAATTTTATTATCAGTACTTTACTATTATTTTATTATTTTATTTAATGAAAAATAGAAAATGATATAGAATTATTCTCCACAGAATCAGGAAGAATAGAAACTTATTTTATTAAAATTTAGTAAAATGACTGATAATGTTAGACTGAAAATACATTGATTCATTTATTATGTGAGTTATCTTTCTAATTTGTTAAATAGAAATTCATTAATTGAGAGTAATTCAAATAGATAATTTCTTTTCATCTTTATTGTTCTACTTGTATGTAAGTTGTTTGTTCTAATTTATGATGAATGTGTTTATTGTTATTTCATTCAACCATCTGAATCTCATTCTTCATTAAGTATTTGTATTCATTTCGAATAAACCTAATAATGTAAAATAAGAAGTAAAGATTATATGGTACAAAGACTGAAAAAGGAATTGATGAAATAGATTCAAAAATAGTTTAGTTCATTCCAAGTCAATTTATTCTTGTTCTTTTTCTTCTTATATTTCTAAACACATAACAAAATCAACTTTCTTTAAAAACAAATAGTTCAATCATAGCAATTAATTGGTTTTATTTTCATAAACTTTCATTTAGAAGCATTTATGTTTTACAAATACTGATTATTTTATAATAAAAACGTTGGTTCTTGAAGTAGATATAAATTGTATAATAAATAAAGAAGAATACAAAGTATTTACAAAAAAAATAACTAAGAAAATGAACAAAATGTTAGTTTGAAATATTTAAATACAAACAAAGAATAATAATTGTAATAAAACACAATAAAATAAAAGATAAATAAATCTATTTAAATCAGAATATTCAAATCAAAACATGAGAAATATTGAGAATAAAAGAAGAAATAAAAATAAAAGAAAAAGATAAAAGAATGAGCAAATACACACAAGAAGTAACAAAGAAAAAAAAGAAGAGAGATGATAATACAACATAGAAATCAAATACGATATGAAAAGAATAATACAACATAGAAAATAAAATGACAAATACAAGAGATAAACAGAAAATGAATAAAATCATAAAGAGAGTAGATTAAAAAAAATAAAAACATAAAATGTGATTTAATATATAGATAAAAGAAATAGATGAGAAAATGAATAAAAACAAAGATAATAAGAGAAAGTAGAAAATAATAGAAAGAATATAAATAATAAGAAGAAATAGAATAATATAATAATGTCATAAATAAAAACAAATATAGAATATTTACTGTTGAATCAAATAATGATAATAATATAATGAATGAACATAAAAGTAATGTTTAAAAATAATATCAAAAGTAAAATAAGGAATGAAAATAGAAATATGAAGTTTATAACATATTTTTATCAAAAATAAAACAAAGAAAATAAAGAAAATAAATTAAAACCATGAAAATAAATATAAATTTCATTTCAACAAAGATTTTGTATTTTATTTAGATTTTCAGATATTAATTTGAACATTTGAATTATTTTAGAAATATTAATTCATAGTAATGATATTCAATAAATAAACGATGTGAATTAATATGATAAATATTTTTAATATGATAATAATGATTAGTTCTAAAAGAAAGAATGATGAAACACTTATGAAGAAGACAAAGAAAAAGAAAGAAATGATAGTATTAATACTTAATTAATTGCTTTTTAAATAATAAAATAATAACAATATTTGATACGACAAACACAAATTATTTTATTAATACCACTTCTTGAATGATAAGAATTAACCAATGTTTTGTTATAGTTGATAGATAGATTTTGAATATAAACAATAAAAAAAGAAATAAAAAAAAGAAATAAAAAAAAGAAATAAAATTCTAATAAATTAAATTAATAAGAGAAGAAGATTAATAAAATCAATATTTAATATTAAATTAATTTAAAACTTTCTTTGGTTTTTTCTCTTCCTTTTGTTTTCTTTTTTTATTCATCTTTTCTTTACGCTCTTTGTCCTTCTTTTTCTTATCACGTTTTTCTTGTTTTATTGCTCTTAATTTCTCTACTTTTTCCATACCACATCCTAATAATGGTGTTTTATTAAATTCTTTGACTGGTCTAACACGACAATTTTTAACTATATCTCCTAAATTAATGTAATGATATAATTCCGTTTGTAATCTTTCACGTGCTTCTTCAAAACTTTTATGAAGAGATTGAATCTTTCCATTCTTTAAATACTTTATTAATAATCTTGCTAACTCATTTTTAGCTTCTTCATTTGGTTCAGGTGCTTCATCAATATATATAACATCATTAAGATAATCATAATAATAGTCTGCTACTTTTGTTGAAAATGATAATGAAATTGGGTTATTTTGAAGTGGAACAACATGTTCTAATAAATACTCATTCCATTCTTTAATCATTTCAATATTCCATCCATGTTGTGAAATAAAATATAAATATTTTTGAATCATTTGACACAATAACATTTCATATTTTTTTATTCTAACATAATCAATTTCATCCCAATATCTTTCTAATGTCTCCATTCCAACTTTTACAAATAAAATGCATTCGTGTTTGTCAATTTCTTCTTTATTCATTATTGATGTAATTTCTTTTCTTACTTTTTCTTGATAATCTCTTCCATCACTATGCCAATACCCTATTATTTAATTATTTATTTATTTATTTATTTTCCTCTTTCTTATAATTTGAATAAACAAACAAAAATAAAGTCCAATCCAAATCTCTTTCATAACTTCTTCATTTGTGTCTTTTTTCATTAAAACTTCTTTTGCCTCTTTCCATCCTGCATCTCTGATACTTGGCTCTTCATTAGAAAGTTTCTGTGCAATGATTTTCCCAATACTGATGGAGTTGTTTGTCATGTAGAAGAAGTGGTTGTGTTGGTTCAGGGTTAGTTCTTCACACAAAAAACAAAAAATAAAAACAAAAAGAAATGCATCGAAGTGAAGAACAAATTGCACTTTGCAAACACAAAAGTTATTTATGCATTCATGAAATTAATGAAAGCAAGAAAAGAATTAATGAAATGGTCAATAAGAAAACAGAGATTCAATGCACGCTTCAGGCTATTAGAGAAGCACAAGAGTTAATTGAGGAAATGAACAAAATTTCAAATGAAGGGAATAAAGGGATAGAAGTGAAGAATGAAGTTGAAGAAATAAAAAAAGGCATTGAAATACAAGAGAAACAAGTGAAGGAAATTGAAAAAGAAAACAAGAAAATTAGAAAGGAAATAGAAGAAATTAAAAAACAAAGAAAAGAAAATATAGAAAATATAGAATATCAAGAAAAAACACTCAAAGAACAAACTGAACATGAGACAGAAAGTCTTATTAAGGAAAATTTAAGTATCAAAGAAATAATTAAACAAGTAGAATTAGAGAGTGATGACATTGAAGAGATTGAATTTCAAGTTAACCAACTCTACCAAAGTGAGATTGAAGACTTATATTCAAATGAGAAATATGACAGTGAGTTTAATAATAACAATGATAAAGAAAGTATTTTTAATGATAATACAGAAATGAGTGGAGATGAACAAAATGATGAAGGAGAACTAAATGAATATTACAGTATGAGTGATAGTAGTACAGGAACATATTTTAATAATAATAAAGAACAACACACATATCAAACCAAAGATAAAGAAAGTAGTTCAACTTCAAGTTCAAGTTCAAATTCAAATGAGAAAGAAGAAAAAGGTACAGACAAAGAAAATAAAGAAGAAACAAGTGAAAGTCAAAGAGATGTAGAAGTATATGAAATATCGGATGATTAAAATAAATACTTTTTATATAAATTCAAGTTTAATTTAACAATGGTATTTGTTAATAGAAATTAATGAAACATAATAAATAAGAGAAATTGAAATAACATAAGAAAAAGTAATACAATAATAAACATAAAAGATAAAAGAAAGTAATATAAAGAAGTAAAGTTATACTAAATAATTGAAGAATGAGTGATGTAATTAATAACATATAAAATAGAACAAATATACACATAATAGAATATTAAAAGAAAGTAATGAATAATAAAAACAATGAAACAATAAATAATAAACATTTTAATGATTATATAAAGTTTTAATCAAACAAAAAATAATTGTGTTATAAAAATATAAAATAATAAATTTAATAATTTCTAGTTATTAAATACAAATTATATTCAAAGAAATTGATAATAAGAATTTTTAAAGCTATTTTGATTTGTTAATTAATAAACTTATCTTTGGTTATATTTCTTTCTATTCTTGTTTTTATTAATATTTTAACAATTTTAGAAAGAGAGTTATTATATAATCTTTATTTTTATTTCTATCTTCTAAGTATTATTGATTTATACAATCCAACTGATTTTTATTCTCATTTATTTATAGTTTATAAATTAATGTAGATAGTATATTATACTTATAACTACATTTAATAATTCTAATATAACTATAATATTCTTTTTTTTCATAAGATTCATTTTAAATAATAATAAATAGTTATGATGTATTTCATTAATATATTTTATAAACTAATGATAATAACTATTTATTAAGTAATAATAGAGGTATTATTTAATGTTTCTTTCAATAGAAATTAATCATATTCAGACTCTTCTTCAATCAAAAACTACAAAGAATATATTATGTATAATTAATGTACAATTAATATTTAATAATATCCATTATTTTTGCATAATATTGTTTTAATTTCTTTTACAATTTCATTTTTATTTCATTAATTAATTTAATATTTAAGATATTTATTAAACTATTTATTGAATTTAATACTGCATTTATTTTTATATCTCTTAATATCTCTATTTTATTACTTCTATTCTTTAATTTAATAATAATTCTTTTCTTCAATTATCTCCATTAATGTTATGATATGAAATATTAATCATATCAAATATTAGAATAATTTTATTCTTTTTTATTCATTAGATATTATATTTTTTGATATTGTCAAACATTCTTTGATTTATTTATTTTTCAATAACAATATTATGTTTTTATATTGGAACAATGTTTCATATTGATATTTTTATATGACAAAGAAAAAAGCAAATAATGTGAAATGAAGAGAAAGAAAGATAAAAAGAATAAAAATAAAGTAAGAAGTAGAAAAAGATAAAAAGAAAGAAGATAAAAGTAATAAAAGAAAAAAATAATAAAAGAAGAAAAGAAGAAATAAAAAGTGTATTTTTAATGTAAAAATTAGAAATATTCAATAAAAAGTGTCTAATCTAATGATGCAAAATAACTAATATTGTTTTATTGATGAAAAATATTTTATTATTTTTTATGTTTATTATTTATGTGTATAATTTCATCATGATATTTATTATATAATCAATCATAAGTGTTATGTTATTATAACATGTAATAATGGATAAAATATAAATGAAAATGATATGAATATATGATATAGAATATAAAAAACAAAATAATAATAAGAATAAATGATAAATAAATCAAGAAATGATAATTAATGATATAATCATAAAATCAACATATAAAAGATAAAAACAATATAAATCAGATCAGAATAAATATAAATTGAAAGTAAATATAAAAGATAATTAAAAAGCAATTAATTAAATATTAATAGAATTAGGTTCTATTCTTCCTGGCTCAAGGGAGACTAATCCAATCCCTTCGTCTTCTTCTTCTAGTAGCTCTACGGAGTATGTTTGGTTGTGATTGAAGTAGTATTCCATGACATCTATAATGTTTTTTATGACAAGGTTTTTTACTTCTTTCTCGATGTCAATTTCAATTTTTAATTCTTTAATTAATTTATTACTTTCTTTATTCATTAATCCA